AGCGCAGAAAGCCAAGTCCTTGGCGGAGATTCCGTTCTGGTGGGAGACCAAGAAATGCGGACTTGCGCGACGTGATTAAGGATCGCAGGGACACAGGTGCAAGGCTGTGCCAAGGACCAAGGGGAGGGAGAGTGGGAGCAGAAGGGGGCTTTGGTTCTCCGCACTGCTCAGGAGGGTCACGGAGGGGTCACCTCAGGGAAGGGACAGAGCCCTGCTGCTGTGCAGTCCCGTCCCCAGCTTCATGCCATGTGGGGTGAGGCTGAGCCAGGAGGCCATAGAGGCGCTGAACACCTCGTGGGAGAATAGAAAATTAATTTGGGGCAAAATAAAGACTTGTACTTGGAGAAATTGGGGACGCCGCTGGTGGAGTTACATGCACGCACTGAAGTTTATTGTAATTTTTTAACGTGTAGTGTGTCTACAACATTTCTTTATTCATCTGTCAGTGACACAGACTGTTTCTAGATCTTGGCCATTAGGAATGATGACTACTCACATGTGGGATTGTTGCATCATGCAGTATTCTACTTTTAATGTTTTTAGGGATCGGCATTCTGTTTTTCTAGCAGCTGTAATCAGTTTACATTCCCACCAACAGTGCAGGAAGTTTTTTTTTTTTTTTTTTTTCACATCCTTGCCAACACTTGTTATTTTTCATCTTTTTTTTTTTAGATTTTATTTATTTGTCCATACAGAACTGGGGTACAGGCCAGAGGCTCAGGGGCGGCGAGAGGCTTCACCAGAGACAGAATGGGGAGCAGAAAAGGCTAACTAACAAAGCACACTGCTGAGGGGAGCAGCGGGCGGGTCAGGAGAGGTCTGCCGGCCATGTGGTCACCTCCGGGGCAGGCAGGAATCGAACTCATGGGAAGTGACTTTAGCTTCTTAGTGCTGTGCTTTCACCTGCTGTGCCACCAGGGAGGGCCTATTTTTCATCTTTTTAAAAATGAACTTTTTACTATCATCTTTAAGATATTTTCCCCACCATCATCCATTGAGCCTCCCATTTTCCCCCATTATCCCCACTTCCTCTTAACCTCAGAGCCCTCAGGATGTTTACTGGTGTTCACTGTTTTTTTTAAAGTGCCTGCTATGTCAATGTCCAGCGCTGGTTTTATCTTTCTGCCGTACTTTCCCTCAGATTTCCTGCATTTTGGGGTTGAAAATAGCTGCATTCCATCCTTCCTTATGGCTGAATAGTACTCCCTGGTATGTGTATACACACCTTGATCCAGGCATTTGTTGATGAACACTCTGGCTGTTCCCAGCTGTTGTTAATAACACTTCTGTGCAAACTGTGGTCCATAAGGGTTTTTTGGTCAATGGTTTCTATTCTTGGATCAATGCCCAAAAAGAAATCACAGGGCTGTATGTTATTTCCTTTCTTAGTTTTTTTTTTTTAAGAATTTTTAAAAGATTTTTTAATTTATTATACAGATCTGGGCAACAAACCAGAGGTGTGGGGCGGTGAGAGGCTTCCCCAGAGACAGAGTGGGGAGCAGGACAGGCCAACTGGCGAAGTACACTGCTGAGGGGAGCAGCAGGCGCGTCAGGAGAGGTCTGCCACGCCATGTAGTCACCTCCGGGGACTGAACTCACACTGAAGCGGTTGCGGCCAGCTTGCCGTGCTACATCCTAACCTGTTGTGCCACCAGAGAGGGCCTCCTTTCTTCGTTTTTTAAGTCAACCCAGATTGCTTCCCATAATGGTTGCACCTGACTAATGTTTTACTGATTTGTCTGGCTCTGGTGGTATGATAGACTGCTGGGGACAGAGCTAGAAGTTGGGAGACATTTAGGAGGCTCTTAACAATGATCCGGACAAGTATAATGACATCATGAACCAGGAGGAAGCAGAGGGAGAGTGACAAGTAGACAGATTCTGGAAATACAAATTTTAAAGTGGCGCTTTGAGAATGGATAAGAAGCAGGCTGTACGAGAAAGGGTCAAGAACAACTTTAGGACTTTGACCCTAGGAACTGGCAGAGTGAAGCTCTTGACTGACTAGGGCAAAGTCGGTGGGTGGAACATTTTGGGAACAGGTTAGAGGAGGATCGGGGGTTTGATTTTGGACATAGTAGCTTAGCGATGCCTACGGCCATGGTGGTGGGATGAAGACAGGTTGCTCCAGGAGTCTGGAATTTAGAGGCAAGTTCTGGAGCCTGGAGCCTGGGCGTCCTCTCTGTACACTGGCTGTTCAAAGGCACGAGCGAGGGGAGAGCCCAGGGCGTCTCCTTACTCACTTGCTCCTTCAAATCAATTCATTTACTTCACGAGGTCATTAAACATATGTCAGGTGCTGTGCCAGCAGTTGGAAAATGAGAGAAATAAGAATCACCCAGCTCAGTGCAGCAGCCAGTCTCAGTTTTCTCTCTCACAGCTTTGGAGACGCCGTGGCTTCCATGTCTTGCTCTGTGCTGCTTCACACTCTCCACAAACCCTTGTCTATCTTCAGAACGTCAAAGGTCATCATGTCAACAGCTTGACCATTAGCATCTGTGACCTAGACCAGCCCTCACTTCAAATGTTGAAACATTAGATTGTTTCAGGGGGGCAGTACTGAATGCCCCACTACTGACACATACAAGTTAATGTATTGAACTCACAGGAGAGCACACGAGATCAAGGGTTTTGTCTTTTTATCACGATCTGGAGCAGGAGCTACTTAGCTCACAGGATGTGATCGGTAAGTATCTGTTGAGCAGGTGAATGACTTTGTAGGGTTCCTCTGGTGCACGAAATAGTCTAAATAGATGGCAGACCTCAATCTGAAACTGGCCTTGAGGTGGCCAGACAGAACACTAGCCTCCTGGGAAGGAAGTGTCTCCTACACTGTGACCTAGAGAAGTGCGCCCGCAGAGAAGCTTCCATATGAACTTCCTACGACTAGCGTGGGCACCACTGCAGCCCTTCCTGATGGAAAGAGCCGTGGTGGAAGGACTCCATGAGGGGGGCTGTGCTACGAGTATAAGCACACAGGGGTGTATTT